GACATGATAATAATTAGGGCTGTCTAATGATATTAAAATAGAAATTAACGGTCTAATTGCTCTTATAGTGAGATTTAAAAACAATTAGTAAAAATATAATAAAAATGCAATGCTTTGTGCTTTCTTTCCACACTGGAAAACAAGTGCATCCAAAGAAAAAATGACCCAATATTCATTCAGTTGATGGGAATATTCAATTTACTAAGGCTAGGTTCACATCTAGGCAGGTTGCAGTCTATATTGCTGGCGCGTTTCGCGTTTTTGACGCTTTTTTATGTGTTTTGTCTGTTTTTTTCTTTTTTTTTTTTTTTGGCTAATAGGAAAATATGACAGTTACGTTCATGTAGTGTGACTTTGATGTGACTTTACACTCTCTCACACACAAGTATCATCAAGGTCGCATCAAAGTAGTTCAGGAACCTTTATGTGTCCAAAGTCACTTGTTAGGGTTGGGGTTAAGAACTAGGGTTAGACTTAAGGGCTAGGGACAGGGTTAAATGTTAGGGCTAGGGTTAAAGGTAGAACGTAATCCTAACCCTAGCCATTAACCCTAAGCCAAACATTTAACCCCAAAATGAGACTTTGGACACATAAGGGTTCCTGCACTATTGTGGTGTGATTTTGATGCTACTTGAGTGCCAGAGACTGTAAAGTCGCATCAAAGTCACTCTAGATGAACAGAACTGTCATATGTTCTTATTGGAAAAGAAAAATGTACACTCATCAAAAACACAACATTTGCATTTTTGGTGCCAGTCCATTGAAGTCTATTACACACACCAAACGCAATCTGCTTCAGGAAAAAAAAAGTCCCTGACCCTTTCGAAAAAAAAAAATGCACCAGCTCAAAATGCACAGATGTGATTTAGATCCATAGGAAAGCATGGTAAATGGACTGTGGTCTGTAAACTTGAAAACGCACTGAAACCTGCATAAGTGTGAATCTAGGGTAAAACTGGAGGGTGCAAAATCTGATGCAGCTCTGCATAGAAACCAATCAGCTTCCAGGTTTTATTGCCAAAGCTTAAACGAACAAGCTGAAGTCAGAGGCTGATTGGCTACCATGCACAACTGCCCCAGATTCTGAGTGGTCCAGTTTTAGTAAATCTGCCGCAATGTGTCATCATTATCAAACCTTCAAAAAACGAATATATTATAATGAAGTTATATAGTATACATAACACATAGCCAGGGGCAGACTGACAACTCATGGGGGCCCCCGGGCAATAGGGGATCATGGGGCCCCTGTGTTCTTGCCCAAACTCAAAAAAGCCTATGAAAAAGGTACCATGGGCATCTCATGGGGCCCCCTACTGACCCCAGGCCCTCGGGCAGTGCCCGAGTTTCCAAATGGTCAGTCCGCCCCTGCACATAGCACAGTGACTTAATAGTTAGCACCTCTGGCTGGCAGTACTATGGGCATTGGTTTGAATCTCAACCCTGACACTACCTGCATGGAGTTTGCATGTTCTCTCTGTGCCTATAAAGCGTAAAACAAACAAAAAGCGCACCAACCTTGCGCATTACCTCAGTAAGCCAAAATTTATTAATAACAGAATACTATCCACAAACACTGAAGTATATCATGCATGTAAATCCTCAAAGGGACTAAGGATAAAAGCAGCCTGCGCGAGCCCCATCAGAGGAGTGGACACTCAGGGAACACTGACGCGTTTCGAAGGACGAACCTTTTTCATCAGAGTAATCAAAGGGTTATCTGTGTGCTGTGTGTGCTCTGATGAAGAAGGTTCGTAGAGCGCAAGAGAGTTCGTTTTCTTCTCTCTCTTCTTCTTTCTGTGCCTGTGTGGGTTTCCCTGGGTACTGCAAAGACATGCTAGTAGGTTAACTGGCTTCTGTCTAAATTGGCCCTTGTATGTCTACGTATACATGTGAGATGTCCTTGAAGACAGGGACTGATGTATGGCAATCTGCAATGTATGTCACTATTGTGTCCTACAAGGACATAGGAATCAGCAGGAGGAATACTAGCATACAACGCTCCAGGAGTGATGAATGCGGAACATTCTTCATCATGTTTTGATCTTCTATGCAGCAGAGTTCGGTGGTGCGAGCTGTGGGATAGGTAAGTATCAACTGCTTTCTTTGCAGGGATGTCTTTTTTGTTTCAACACAGTTGCTTTAACCTCCCTGGAGGTATTCCCGAGTGTAGCTCGGGGGGTAAAGTTTCAGCACCACAAGCGGTAACCCCGAGCTACACTCGGGACTACCTTGTAGCGTTGCTCCGGGATCTATTCTTCACTTACCTTGTCCTGCGCTCCGCGATGTCCCTCCTGCAGTGTCCCCGGCAATGTCCTCCGGCTGATGCTGGCATCTGTCATCTGGGTTCCGTACCCTGCGACGTCGGGACGTACGGGGACGGAACTGGCGGGAAATTTAAAAGTGTCAAAAAGTGACATTCACTAAATACACTAAAATCACATAGTATAACATTAATGTATCAAACCATTTCACATACATTTTGTCCCGAGTGCTTTGTCCTGTGCCCTGCCTGCATTTTTACTGTTCTTTCTGCCTGGAAACTGAGAAAAGTCCATGGCGTCCAAAAAGTGTCCCTTTAGGTCAAAATCGGTTTTAGACCAGCTAGAGATCAGCGATAGTAAATCAGAACCACTTGCAGAATTGAGTGATAATGATTCGTGGGGAAATTCGTCATCAGACACTGAAAACGATTTTGCGACTTTGCTCAGTGATGTGCGAACTTGGCGCTATATTTCAAATTTCAGTGTTTTTGGTTTGATTATATTATTGAATTACATTTATTATTGTTATATTATTATTTTTTATGATTATTTATTAAATTATAATTTATGATTTCGTGTTTCAAATTTTAACATACCTGGGATGTTTACTAGACTCTTGTTCGGACAGATGTCAGTGAGTTATTCCTAAAAATTACAGGCCTACAATAAAAAAAAACAACATATTTCCTTGCAAAAAAAAATGTACCGCTTTGTGCACAGAAATGCTGACATAATCAGACCGCTAGGGAGACTACACAATGAGGAGCCCCATTAAAGCCAAACTCCAGGATAAGCAAATACTATCTAAATACAAGAGGCATGTGTATTCTTGAATCTTGGTGTGCTTTGTGTATTTCTTCCAGATCTGTACAATAATCTAGTGTGCAGGAGCTTCCTGTAATCCGTAAGACCGGTCACTGATACTTTCTCTCATTTTGGAGAGTGACAGGTCTTGTCTCCACCCCTTCTGTAGTTTTTTTTTTTTCAGGAAGCCTGTAGTGGGTGAGGTCTGCTAGGCCCTAACTATAGCTCTGCTCTTTGCACAGACAGAGAAATGGCACACTGCTACTCTTACAAGGCAATGCCTGGGTTTGTAAAGGCGTTTTGTTGGAATACATTGTTCTTGTATTTTGTGCAACAACTACATAAACCAGTAAATGGCAGTATTTATAAGTTTTTAGCTGCATCTATGACTATACTCTATGCCTTTTCTCTATAACACAGTTCCTGTTTCCTATTTACAGAGAAGCATCAGATAAACACATGTGGTCGGTGCACTGTCTGTTCTGTAGGGCTATACAGACGTACCTCAGTTTACGAATTTAATGGGTTCTGCAGGACTTTTCGTATTGCAAAAAATTTGTAAACCAAAATGCGGTTTCCAAAAGGAATGCACTAAAAAACAATTAATCCGTTCCGGAGGTCAGAAAAAAGTAAAAAGAAAGTTTATTATCTGTTCAAAACTCTTTATGAAGTGCACTTTAAAGACATAAATACTGTACAGGGACATGATTAAAAATGAATTTGTAAATGCATTGACAACCAAATAATCCGTTCGTATTGCGAAAATTTTTTTTAAATGCATTGAAAACCAATTAATCCGTTCTGGTGGTCAGAAAAAAAGTTAAAAAAAAGTCTTATCTGTTCAAAAAAACTCTTTATAAAGTGCACTTTAAAGGCATAGTACTGTACAGGGACATGATTAAAAAAAAAATTGTAAATGCATTGAAAACCAATTAATCTGTTTTTTATTGAGAAAACAATTTGTAAACCGAGGCATTGTTTTCAATAGATTTTCATTCGTAAACCGAGAATTACGTTAACTGAGGCGTTCGTAAACCGAGGTACACCTGTATACAGAATCTTTAACACATTTGTTGCACACAAAGTGGATTTATATTCTATTCAATTATTTATTTTTCATATTTACATTTTTGTGCCAGGAGTTCAGCCTTAAGGTCAGCATGCATAATAGTCAAGCTAGCTCTCAGCCTTTTCACCACAAGTCCAGTATGAAGGGAAAATTGAACATTTAGTTTTTCTATAAAGTAGAAACTGTCTAACACATAAAGTAAAAACAATAATACTTTGCTCCTATTTTAGTATCCATCAATATATAACAGCACCCTATTGTCATTTATTTTTCCCTCCAGGTAGTTGCGGTGTTAGTCATCCAGTACTTGTAGCAACTATGGAGGCAGATCCCGAGGGTCTCAATCCCCCAATGTTGGTTTTACACGGAGAAAAAGCTGTGAAGGTTACATGGACCATGCCTAAAATGCCTAATGGGATTATAATTGGATACACCATCCACAGGTAACATCATGGTCTAGGAAAGTGTGTGCCTTTAATAAAGTTTTCATTTTTTGTTTTTTACTAAACCATACTGTATTTAAAGTTTTAAACGTTTATAGAACAAACAGGATACTGTGAAATTGGGCAGGAAAATAGAAATGCACAAAACAGGGGCGGACTGACAAATCATGGGGCCCCCCTAGGGGGATCATGGGGCCCCTGTGTCCTCGCCCACACCCAAAAAAAAGCCTATGAAAAAGCCAATGAAAGGTACCAGGGGCATGTCATGGGGCCCCCTACCCTCGGGCAGTGCCCAAGTGCTCAAATGGTCAGTCCACCCCTGGCACAAAAGTATATACATAAAATATACAATAAACTGCAAATAGCAATTTCTAAATAGAAGTTGAAGTCCAAATCTCACCAGTGATGATGCCACAAAGGAAAGGTGTGTGCCAGGGGCGGACTGACCATTTAGCCACTATGGCACTGCCCGAGGGCCCAGGGCCAGTAGGAGGCCCCATGAGATGCCCCTGGTACCTTTCATAGACTTTTTTGGGTGTGGTTTGAGTGTGGGGGTGAGGACACAAGGGCCCGATGATTTCCTATTGCCCGGGGGCCCAATGAGTTGTCAGTCTGCCCCTGGTGTGTGCTCTTCTTCACATATGGTCCCCAAAATGCTTCTGTTTCCTCTTCTTCTAAGGGGGTTTGATTGGAAGTATGGTAGCAGTGCAGTGTGAGTCAAAAACACGTTTAAAGGTGGGAATACACGATTAGAAAATCGACCAATCGGTCATCCGATGACCGAGAGGCTTTCGTTCATTGGTCAAAATCGTTGCCCACATTAACCAATCTAAAAAAATTGTTTGTCAGTCAATACATAGTGTTGACATCTTCCTTACAAGTGGAAGTGATGTGGTGTACGTGTGACCTTGTAGCCACGCCCCTTCCGGTCAGAACGAGCGATATACACAACATAACAATTAAAAGCAACGAGTATAATATAGTTTATTCCAATATCTATATACATAAATAGTGATAAATACAATATAATCTGCAGAATTCTGGTTTCATTATCTCATTAGGCCAATCTACTTTTAACATTTGGATTTTTTGTTCGTGTTTACGAAGATTTCTTGGACATAAACATCCAGGTCATCTTCTGTTTCCGCTCATGTGTGATAGCGCTTGATAGATTTCTTTTGTACGACCGTCATACCACCGCATAGAAAATTGGTCGTTATGCGAAACAACATTTTTCACTGCTGTTCAAGCGGATTTTTACTTTCACAATATCGTTATTGGTTAAAACATCCTGCTCATCAATGAAGAGAAAATCGTTTGATCAGTGGTTCCGCAAAATTTTTCATACGATTTTCTTATGGTGTGTGTGGGGCATTAGGATTGTTTGATATTATGAGATAATTAAGGCTCCATGCACACTAGCGGTTTTTTTTTTTTAAAGCTCAAAAAACGCTGGATAAAAAATGCTGGTAATAAAGTAATTTAGTAGAGCAATTGTAGCATTTTAGTAGCATTCAGAAGAATTTAGGAGCGTTAGCGTTTTATTAGTGGTTTTACAGTACGTGTAGAGGAAAAAAAAAAGCTAGAAAAAAAGCTGTTAGGAACGTTTTAGCAGCATTTAGCGTTTTTTCTGCTGGAAAAAAGCTCCAAAAAACTCTACAAAAACTATTTTTTTTCTGCTCCTAGACGCTAAAGCTCAAAAAATGCTAATAGCCTAAAGTAGTGTGCATGGACACATAGGATAACATTTTGTAGCTTCTAGCAGCAGAAATAAATATGCTAATAATAGCTTAAAAAAAACTTGTGTGCATGTCAAAAAAACGTGCCTGAAAAGCTCAAGAAAAATGCGTTCCTATGTATGTGAATGTATATCTATGTTTGTTTTCACACTGAAGCGTTGCGCTTGCTGTGCGGTGTAAAAGCAATTGCAGCATATTTGGGGAGTAAAAAAAAGCCCCAAAAATGCCTCTTCCCATTGAAATCAATGGAAAACACCTCAAAAGCACCTCAAAAAAGCCTGAAAAATGCCTAAAAAACACCTCTGAGAAGCGTTTTCGGTTCCGTTTTTAAGTCACATGTCCTTTAAAAATGCTCAGAAAGCGCTGCAAAAGCGTGGTAAAAACACCTATGCATTTTTTTGCGATGGATCATTGTGAAAGTAGCGCTGCCCATACACTAGCAGATTTTTTAACAGACCTTTATTACAAACATTCATAGAAAAATTCTCAGTTCATGAGAATGATTTTGATGAATATTGTTCAAAATTTTGTTTGCAATTAATATTCCATTTTGCAACAAACAGACTTGCCTGAATGAAAACTAAAATACTGTTATAGATTTGTTTGTTCAAGAAAAATTTGCGGTCAAAAACGAACATCAGTTTGATACCACCAATGATTAGAACACCAAATGGATGTTCTTTTCTTTTTTTTTTAGCTTTTATTGATTCCAATCATGGAGTTGTACAGTACAGAGCAGGGGCGGACTGACAACTCATGGGGCCACCAGGCCAATTGGGGATCATGGGGCCCCTGTGTCTTGCTCAAACTCAAAAAAACCTAAGAAAAAGGTACCAGGGGCATCTCATGGGACCCCCTACTGACCCTGGGCCCTCGGGCAGTGCCCGAGTTTCCAAATGGTCAGTCCGCCCCTGGTACAGGGTTACTCCAGTAAAAGAAAGCATAGACAACAATATCCCAAATCTAAGCATACAAAGCAAGCTTGGGGAAACAATTAAGCAGGTTATATATGTAGATACAGAGTCAATAAAGTTTCATTGAACATACTGTATCAGCCAGACCTTAGTCAAAACTAATAATCTCGCCAAATGGACATTCTTAAAACAAATTTTTTTAAACAAAATCCTACTATTTTATGGCCTGCACTTCTTTGGAAAACGCAGCCCGCACAGGAACCTCGGTATAACTAATGGCACCCGCCTTCAGGTCCACATTTCTCTGTGCAGGTGCGGCTGCACGGATTTTCGTGCGGATCCGCAGCGGCACCACCCACACAGATGTGAACCTAGGGTGAAGGGAATTCACATCATAGACAGCTGTCGCCAAAACATTTTTCCCCATTTGAATATTTCCTCTCACCTTTTGCTGTCCCTCTAGTTGGGACACAGAATGCAATAATTATTTGGCAGGTCTAATCCAGGCTTTTTCAACCCATGGCACTCAGGCCACATTCAGTCCAAGACAGCTATGAATGCAGCCCAACACAAAATCGTAAACTTGTTTAAAAATGTTGATTTTTTTTTTTAATGCATTTACATTTAGTGTACACATGCGTCCGAAGAAAAATTTGACAGTGTCTGTTTACTGGACTTTTAACAGTTTTATCTTCCCAAAGAAAAATATCCAACTCTTCACAATCAAGTCTTATTCATGTCATCAGTTTTTGGCACCAACGATATTTGTGAGCAACTATACTGCTCAAAAAAACTAAAGGAACACTTTGAAAACACATCAGATCTCAATGGGGAAATATCTCCTGCTGGATATCTATACTGATATGGACGGGGTGATGTGTTAGGAATGTAAGGATGCCCCATCGTTTGATGGAAATGAAAATGATCAACCTACAGAGGACTGAATTCATAGACACCCTGAAAATCAAAATGAAAAAAAAATGATGTAGCAGGCTAGTCTATTTTGCTGAAATTTCATTGCCGCAACTCAAAATGGTACTCTGTAGTTTGTATGGCCCCCACGTGCTTGTATGCATGCCTGACAACGTCGGGGCATGCTCCTAATGAGACAAGGGGAGGTGTCCTGGGGTATTTCGTTCTAGATCTGGACCAGGGCATCACTGAGCTCCTGGACAGTCTGAGGTGCAACTTGGTGGCGTTGCATGGACCGAAACATGATATCCCAGAGGTGTTTAATTGGATGTAGGTCAGGCGAGCGTGGGGACCATTCAATGGTATCAATTCCGACAACCTCCAGGAACTGCCTGCATACTGTTGCCACATGAGGCGCTTGTCGTGCACCAGGAGGAACCCAGGACCCATTGCTCCAGCGTAGGGTCTGACAATGGGTCCAAGGATTTCATCATGATACCTAATGGCAGTCAGGGTACCATTGTCTAGCCTGTAGAGGTCTGTGCATCCCTCCATGGATATGCGTCCCCAGACCATCACTGACCCACCACCAAAACAGTCTTGCTGAATGATGTTACAGGCAGCATAAAGTTCTCCAAGGCTTCTCCAGACCCTTTCACGTGTGTCACATGTGCTCAGGGTGAACCTGCTCTCATCTGTTAAAAGCACAGGGGCCAATGGCAGACCTGCCAATTTTGGTGTTCAATGGCAAATGCCAATCAAGTTCTATGGTGCTGGGCAGTGAGCACAGGGCCAACTAAGGGACATCGGGCCCTCAGGCCACCTTCATGAAGTCTGTTTCTGATTGTTTGGTCAGAGACATTCACACCAGTGGCCTGCTACAGGTCATTTTGTAGGGCTCTGGCAGTGCTAATCCTGTTCCTCCTTGCACAAAGGAGCAGATACCGGTCCTACTGATGGGTTAAGGACCTTTTTTGGCCCTGTTCAGCTCTCCTAGAGTAACTGTCTGTCTCCTGGAATCTCCTAAATGCTCTTTAGACTGTGCTGGGAGACACAGCAAACCTTCTGGCAATGGCACGTATTGATGTGCCATCCTGGAGGAGTTGGACTGCCTGTGCAACCTCTGTAGGGTCCAGGTATCACCTTATGCTACCAGTAGTGACACTGACCCTAGCCAAATACAAAGCTAGTGAAAAACTGTCAGAAAGGATGAGTAGGTAATAAAATGTCAGTGGCCTCCACCTGTAAAACCATTCCTGTTTTGAGGGTTGTCTCATTGTTGCCCATCTAGTGCACCTGTTGTTAATTTCATTAACACCAAAGCAGCTGAAACTGATTAACAACCCCCTCTGCTACTTAACTGACCAGATCAATATCCCAGGAGTTTAATTGACTTGATGCTATGCTCTTCTTAAGAAGTTTTAATTTATTTTTTTTGAGCAGCGTATTTTCAAGGCTGAAGCATGCAAACGGCAAAACTAGATCCAAAATATCTGATGAGCACCTTGATAATTCATTGAGAATTGCTACATCCATATTGAAGCGTTAGTTTATCAAAAACGGTGTAAAATACCGCACTGGTTTTATGTTGTCCTCTTTTACTTTTATGATACAAAATATTACAAGTTTAATTACTCAGACAGGTATATTAACTATATCATTGATTTTTAACTTGGAATCTGCCTGACTTCTTCTGCTCATCAGCATCCTTATTGTTTGTGTATGTTATGTGTGGCCCAAAACAATTCCTCTTCTTCCAGTGTGGCGCAGGAAAGTCAAAAGGTTGGACACTCATGGTCTAACCCAGCAATGGGCAAACTACGGCCCACGGGCCGTATACGGCCCGGCGGACCTTTTAATCCGGCCCGTGGATGTGGCTGTCAGGATGTGTGTGTAGGCGGGGCAGCGTGACGAACGTGAGGGGAGCTAGGCTCCTCTCACAGTCCGCCCTGAAGACCGGAACGGCGCGGGAACACGGCAAGAGGAACGCGCGGAGCAAAGGTAAGTGGATTGACACGGGGGACTTGGCTTACTACTTGGGGGGGAATAGCACTGTGGGGGATGAAATACTATGGGGGATGAATTACTATATGGGGGATGAATTACTATGGGGGATGAATTACTATATGGGGGA